GCATACACCTCTTGGGGTGTACGTACACCTCGTCAGGTGTACATACAGCTCGTGGGGTGTACGTACACCTCGTGGGGTGTACATACACCTCGTGGGGTGTGCATACACCTCGTGGGGTGTACATACACCTCGTGGGGTGTACATACACCTCGTGGGGTGTACATACACCTCGTGGGGTGTACATACACCTCAAGCTGCGCATACACCTCGTGGGGTGTACATACACCTCGAGCTGTACATACACCTCGTGGGGTGTACAAGTACAACTCGTGGGGTGTACATACACCTCGTGGGGTGTACATACACCTCATGCGGTGTACATACAACTCGTGGGGTGTACATACACTTCATTCGGTCTTCGTCTGTACTTTGTTGTTCTCGTTTTGTGCATTATCTCTCTATTTCTTAATTTTTTATTTTTTAATATTTTCTTTGTGCGTTGTGTTTTTTGTTTGAATCCATTCGATGTACCCAAGGAGTTAAAAATATTATATTTATTTCCTTCATTCTATTTTATTTTTATTTTGTTTTTATTTTGTTTTTTTTTTATTTTTATTTTATTTTTATTTTATGTTGTATGCAGGCATCTAAGAAACGTCATTCTTCTTGTTTTTGTTTGTCTCTGAGTTGCTGTCTCGCTGCTCTTTGTCGTTGTCTCCCCCTCCCGGTGACAGCCGAAAAAATTATGCCTCTCTTCATCACCCTGCTGCGTATGCTAAACCCTAAACCCTAAACCCTAAACCCTAAACAAGTATAGAAACCCTAGGCCTGAACACAAACCCTACACCATAAGTCATCGTCAAAACCCTCAACCTGCAACCGACCGCTCGCGAAAACCCTAAACCCTAAACCTCTTTTTAAACCCTAAACCCTCAACAAAACCCTAAACCCTAAACCCCCTTTGTTGTTTTGTCTCCGCAGTTGATGATGGTCTAGCCCTCGATGAATACCAAGCGATCGACAAGGAAGTCAAAAGCATCATGCAAAAGGCAGGCCAAGGGTTTAGGGTTTAGGGTTTAGGGTTTGGGGTTTGGGGTTTGCCATTCAGATTAGGGTTTATGGTCCCCCAGACCGGATGAGGGTTTAGGATCTAGGGTTTAGGGTTTAGGGTTTAGGGTTTGGGGTTTCTGGCTCAGGTGGACGAGGACCGACGAAGACATTTTGCCCTCAAGGCTGTAAGCCGTCAAAAACTCAATACTAGGGTTTAGGGTTTAGGGTTTAGGGTTTAAGGTCAAGGGTTTAGGGTTTAGGGTTTAGAGTTCTTTGCTGCATGCGTATGTTGCAGGAGCAGCAGTCGGC